GCTGTTTCAGGAACCAAAAAGGACGAAAAGGATGTGTCCAAGGACACTAAATGATTTTTGGCATATTGATTTCTGAAACATGTTCCTTTTCTTTTCCTTTTTTTTCTTTTTTCTTTTTTGTTTTGAGCGTTTACTGCAACAGATTGTTAGAAGGAAATTAGCTGTCAGTTCAACACTTCAGAACTTTAAGCTATTGTTGTAAGCATAAGAAAACTGCTAACTTTGCTAGCAGTACTAGAGGAAGTTTTAAGGCAGCCTTCTGATGCGTTTGCACTTCACGAATATTTTTATGTATCCTTGTAATCCTAATGAACACCTGAGATTGGTCAAATTTGATATGTGCATCAAACGTCCTTTTTACCTTGATATTCTAAAGCATCTATACAATGTTTATTATCTTTTTCATGCCTTCTCTTTCTCCTTGTTCTGTTTTCTGCCAGTTTCAGTTTTCAACTATCATCTCTCTGTGTCTCTGTATATACATTCAGACGCAAATGTTGACATATCTTCATGCATGCCTCATTTGATATATAGCTTCAGCTACTCGCTCTGATTTAATCTCAGTGTCGTGATGAAATTTTCGTCATAGCTGGTTGTTTAGAGATAGCATCTTATTTGCCAGAATAGGTATGCAACCCCTTCTTCAGGTTTTTTCTCCTCTTTATTTCTCCCCAATTTTAGAATTTGTTTGCTTTTGTTGTTCTATTTTAGTTTGTAAAGAATGAATTTTCTCATTGTTTACCAGGTACCACAGATTTGCTCTCGAGCTGGGTAAGATAATGTTCGACTTGCCATCGCAAGGTTAGACCCACACTAAGTTTGAATCTAGTTTTAGTGGTTTCAGTTACTTTTCTTTTTCATTCTTATTATGTAATTTAGAAAACCTAGTAAGTTTATTTGCTCTCTCTAGGATATTATTTATAGTGTTCAAGGAAACAAAGAAGTTTGTCCCTAATTGATGTGAGACTAAACAATAGTAAAACAACTACTCTTAACACACCCTCTCAAACTGAGCATACATATTGTACATCCCTAGCTTGTGACAAATAAAATTCACTTATGTTCTCCCAAGAGGTTAGTGAGAATATCTGCAAGTTGATGATCTGATTGTATATGCTTGGCTCTAATGATTCTTTTCTCTATCTTCTCACGAATTAAGTGGCAATCAATCTCAATGTATTTTATCCTCTCATGAAACACCAGGTTCTCAGCTATGTAAATAGCGGCCTTATTATCTCCATACAAGCTCATAGGACACTCCAGATGATAACCAATCTCTATTAGTATATCTCTAACCCAGATCAACTCGCAACTCAAATTCGCCATTGCTTGATACTCGACTCAACTGTAGTCGAGAGACTACACTCTGTTTCTTACTCTTTCATGATATTAGATTTCCTCCAAGAAATACACGATACCTAATAGTTGCCCGTCAGTCTTCTGGAGATCCTGCCCAATCTGCATCTGAGAATCCTACAACGCTTGTGTGACCACCATCTAAATAGAGTACTCATTTTTCTAGGGTTTTCTTGAGATACCTAAGAATCCACTTCACAGCTTCCATATGAGGTTTCCTAAGTGCCAAAAGAAACTGACTGATTACACTCATAGAAAATACAATATCCGGTCTCGTGACTGTTAGGTAGTTTAGTTTACCTACAAGTCGTCTGTATTTTTTAGTATCCTGCAGTAACTCCCCCTGAGTCGATAGTAGTTTGATTTATGGTCCATATGTGAGCTAATGTCTTTGCATTCTGACATCCCAGCATTTAGCAACATATCAAGTACATATTTTCTCTGAGATAAGAGAATTCCCTTCTTTGATCTAGTTACCTCGATACCCAAAAATATTTTAAGGATCCAAGGTTCTTAGTTTGAAATTGTTGCTATAGATACCTCTTTAAACGACTAATGTCCTGTGCATCGTCGCCAGTGATCATAATGTCATCAACATATACAACCAAAAGGTTCCACTTTCCACCATGAAATCTTCAGAAAACTGAGTGGTCTTTCTGAGCTCTATGAAAACCAAAGGTCTGAAAAACTACATCAAAACGTCTGAACCAAGCCCTCAGAAATTGCTTCAAACCGTACAGAGATTTCTTTAACCTGCAAACATTGCCACACTCCTCTTGAGCAACAAAACCTAATGGTTGCTCCATATAAATTTTCTCATCAAGAAATGCATTTTTTAACGTCCAACTAATATAGTGGCTAGTGATAGCGAGCATCGAGCAAAATAAGAATGCAGATAGATATCATTTTAGTTACATGAGAGAATGTATCGATATAATCAAGGTCATAAATCTGTGAATACCCTTTCGCAACTAATCGAGCTTTGAGGCGAGCCAGAGAGCCATCTGGATTGACAGTGTAAACCCATTTGTAGCCAACCGCTTTCTTTCTTGATGGTAGAGAAATAAGACCCAAGTCCCATTTTTCTAAGGTCTTCATTTCGTCTTGCGTTGCCGTTGTTCAATCCAGGTTAGAGCTTCTGACAAATTCTTGGGAACCGAGTAAGAATCTAAAGAAGATATGAAAGAGTAATGTGATGGAGATAATGAAGCGTAAGAGACATAGTGTGTAAGAGGATATCAATAACTTTGAGAACAAGATCTCTTATCCTTTCGGAGAGCAACAGGAAGATCATCAGTAGCCTGAGCATTTAGTTGTACGAGCACATATTGACTTGCTAGTATATCAGGCTCTTTGGTGGATTGAGACAATGGCTTAGGTTGCAAAGTAGTACGTCTTATATAAACTTGGACTGGTTTCGCAAATGTGGATGGTAGTTCAGTCTGTATAGCAGCCTTGGAAAGAACATTGACAGTGGTTTTCCAAATAAGAAGGTAGTCATAATCATTGGGAGGGTCTAAGAATTTGTTAAAAGCAATATGTCATGGCTTGTTCTCAAAGAAGACAGCATCAGTTGAAATAATATATCGATTCAAGGATGGGCAATAACATTTGTACCCTTTTGAGTCCTAGAATATGCAAGAAAAATACCCTTAAGAGATCGCGAATCTAATTTCGTCCGTTGAGGACTATGATTGTGAATAAAGCATAGAGATCCACAGATCTTAGGAGATAAATGAAAAGCGCCTTCAGCCAGATATAAAAGGGAGATCATGGTTTATTCTTTAAGACAGGTGAGAGTCGTCTATTGATCAGATAGCATGCCGTTAAAATGACATCATCCCAAAAATATTTTAGAACTTGACGATAAAATAACAAGGTCCTAGCAAATTCTAGCAAGTGTATGTTCTTGCACTCAACAATCCTATTTTGTTGGGGGTGTGTAAGTACAAGAAGACTGATGTAAAATTTTATTTTCTTCTAAATATTTTATGAAAGATTTTTTAAAATATTCCTTAGCGTTATCTGTTCTTAAAGTTTTGATGGTAGTGTGAAATTGATTTTTAATCTATGCACATAAAACTTTAAAAATATAGAACACTTCAAAACGACTGTCAGCGGGTAAATCCAAGTCATGCGAGAAAAATCATCTATAAAACTAACAAAATATTGGAAACCGAGTTTGGATGAAATAGAATAAGGACCCCATACGTCGGAATGTACTAAATCAAAAGGGTTACTGACTTGTTTATTCACGCGACTCAGGTAAGACACCCGTTGGTGTTTTCTGAGTTGACATGACTCACATTCCAAAGACTCGATGTGATTTAAATCTGAAAGTAAACTTTTAAGAATTGAAAGAGGGGGATGACCAAGCTGGCAATGTACTTCAAAGGCTGATGTGGAGTTGATACATGCCACCTAGGAAGGGGCAAAGTTCAGTTCGTACAAGTCGTTCCGCTCATGTCCAATGCCAATCGTCTTCCTCGTCCCAAGTACCTAAAAAATACAATGTGTAAGAAAAAATATGACCGTGCAGTTTAATGCTTTAGTAATTTTACTGACAGATAAGAGATTAAATGAAAAATGAGGAAGATATAACATAGAAGAAAGTGGAAGAGTATTAGTGTTGACAGATACGATACCCTCCACAGGTGTGGTAGATCTATTAGCCAATACTACTGAAGGAAAGAAGGTGGTAGGTGTATAAGAGGATAATATACCTCAACTCCCAATCATATGATCAGTTGCTCCTGAATCTATAACCCAAGTATGAGACGGTGACAATGTAAGGCAAACAGTGGGTTTACTTGTCTAGGCAAGCACAGCCGTAGTAGGAGAGGATTTAGTATTCCTCATTTGTTGAAATAACTGGAGCTGAAACCGCTCAAATTGGCGGCGGGTGTCTTCATCCATGGGACTCGTGTGTAGTTACATGTGCACTCTGAGGTTGTTTTCCTTATAGTTGAGGACAATGAAATTTCATGTGATCTGATTTCGTACAATAATGACAATAGATAGAGGGACTAGATGAACCCTTCCCTGCAGCTCCTCATGAACTATCATCTCGTCTACCACGTGCTCCAAAACATCCTCTACGTCTCCCAAAGCGACCTCCACCATGACCACCCGCTCGACTAGTTATCTGTCTACTCTGTGTGGCGAGAGTAGACCTATTTGCAGATTCTGAAGTAGTACTTGCTGTCGAATCTGGCACTGTTGATCTCAAAATGTAATATGTCTGCTAAAGAACGTATAGTAGAGCTCCTAATAATTTGTGGCATTGCTGAATTATAAGACTGTGGAAGAGAACCAAGAAAGGTGAATACCATTAATTAATCCCACTGATCTTACATCTTCTAAATATCCCCCATAATGGAAAAAATCTGTCTCAGCTCCTTTGTGAGGCGATTAAAGTAGTCATAATGCTCTTCAAAAGTCTGATTATGCTCGTCCATCCTACTTCGAAATAACACTTGAATGACGTCATACACCCGATTAGCATGCCCTGGCCTAAGTACAATTGTTCCAAGAACTTTCACACTTGTTTCACTATATTACAGTGAATTACTAGCTGAAGGACCTGTGGTTTCATGCTGTTCCAAAGTTGATGAAGTAGACCAGTGTCATCAGGTTTTCAGGAGGCAGTAACTAGTACGGGAGGGTCATCTGTAAGATGATTATACTTTCCCTATCCTAAAATATAAACTGAAACTAGTTGCTTCCAAAGTAGGTAATTGGGTCCATTCAATTTTTGGTCAGTGATCCTGCTAGAGAGCATCTCCGTATGGGTATTTATCTCATCAACATAATTACTGGGGGACACCATCAACATAGCAAATAAGATCCTTCAACTAGTAATCTCCCAAAAATAAACTATCAATCTCACTCAACAACAAATTAAATTCCAATAATCAAATCATCATCAACTAATCAAGTAATTAGTTTAATAAGTACAACCATTCCGTAAAGAACGACTTATCGTTTATCTCAAAGAGATTGTTAACGATTGATCGTAACATAGATCTAAATAATTAGATGAAGATTTATAAAGTGGTAGTTGGTAAACTAAATAATTAGTTAAAGATCTATAAAGATCTAGTTGATGAGCTAAATGATTAGCTGAAGATTTCTGAAAATCTAGTAGATTAGCTAAATGATTAGCTGAAGATCTATGAATATCTAGTTGATAAGCTAAATGATTAGATTATTTTTTTAAACGACGGATGCACAGTATAGTCGGATGAATAGTGCTCTATGAACAATATCTAGGCAGATGAACAGTGTCAGATAGGGTTTGGTTGTGGTGGAGGATGACGACTAGGGTTTAAGAGGGGTGGAAGGTGGCGACTAGGGTTTAGAAATTTAGAGAGAGAAAACAGGGTGGCTTTGATACCATGTAATTTGGAAAACCCTAGTAAGTTTATTAGCTCTCTTTAGCATGTTATTTATAGTGTTCAAAGAAAAAAAGAAGTTTGTCCCTAAGCGATGTGGGACTAAACAATAGTAAACAACTACTCTCAACTGTAAGGGCTAACGCACAGTTTAATGTTACAGATTGAACAAAATGAAGATCAAAACAAAATGAAACTATCATCATTTCTGTTTGAAAGTTTTAAATTGTTTTTGTTTTCTCCCCAACAAAAACCTTTAGTAGCAATAATTTAGTTTAGACTGCTTAGAAATGACATTAGCTTGACCCCAGGTACACGTGAAAAGTAAGTCCACACTGGAGAAGGATTCTAAATCTTCAAAAATTCAAAAGAAAATGCACACTTGAAAATTTAGAGGGTGGATGATTCTTTTGTAATGTCTTGCATCTTCCAAGTGGCATTATGATGTATTTGGTGTTTCCTATTAATACAAGTCCTCATCCTCAGCTGCATGTATTGTACTGCATCTTTTGGGTGAAGTTGATTGCCATACGCTCGCTACTGCTGACCGAATGTTCACGTTTAACAACTTACTAAATTTGTGCTAGCTCTAGCGATAAGGCTATGCACAATATTATTCCTTATAGTTTGTACAATGGAATCTGATCTATATGAGGGCTTTGTTTTGGAAAATAAGGGAAGACGAGTTGTTTAAATGAGAAATTTTAAAGGCTTAGACTTTTATGGCTACCCAGAATCTGAAATAGAAGATAAAGAGAAAACAGCTACTGGGTGAAACATGTATATAAGATAGTTTTTATCCAGGGATAACAGAAGGAAAGGAAGGGAATTAGTAAGATATGATGAATCAGTGTTATAGGTATAGTTACTTTCTGTTCAAGGTTGTGCTGGGAATCTGGGGAATGGATGAAGAAACTGAGGTTTTACTACAGAACAATATCTTCCGATATTACCAACAATAAAATACAGTAAAGGAGAAGCCCGAAGGATAATGTCTGTTGCTCCAGAACTACTGATATATAGATTTAGGTTAAACCAAGAGTATATTAATATCTCTCTCTAGAATGGTATTTCTCTAAATTTCTTTAATTTGAGGCAGCTTCATCACATGAGGTTGAATAGAAATGGCTGGAACAGAGCAGCTAAATTTCATCGAGATGTGTGCCTATGATAGTAAATTTCATCGAGATCAGTGGGTTTAGTTGGATTTACGAGTGCACTTCTTTTTTCAACTAGGGAATTGATGCAATGATGCTCATTGCAAATTGTCCTCTTCCATTTTCTATAACAATTTTGGAAAAGATGTTTATTCAAAGCAGTAGGGAAACTTATGCTGATTGAGAGGAGCTCCAAAGCAAAACTAATTTGCATCATCTCTCTTGGGACCTGGGACAGATCCGGAATTTTTTCCTATAGGAGCACATATACAATTATACATATAATTTAATAAGTTATAAGTTATATAATATTAATTCTATAAATAAAAAAATTATTATATGATAATGACAAAGATCTCGACATATATTAATTTCTATTGTCATTTTTATATCAAATACATGATTATTTTCATTTTCATCACAAAAACTAATAAACTACTACTAAATTACTACAACAGTTCTCTATAATTGTTCTTTAGATAACAAATAATATTGCATGGGGGCATTAGTTAAAATTCTAGGCACACTAGCATAATTTTGCTATAGACATGGGCGCATGCTCCCTCATAGCTCTTAGTGTGCATCCATCCTTGCTGTTGGGAGTTTGATATGTTTAGAACTCAAGTTATAAAAAGCAGTACCCTATTTATTCTACAGAAGAAATGCCTTTATATTATTAAACGATGTCATCTTTTTTGCTTCTTAAAGAAATGTGCCGCTACACAAGCAGCAAGAAGCTTTTGTGAAGTGGCAAAGAATTTACGCAAGCAGAGAATTATTCTCTTTGCTAATTTAACTCGTTATTCTATTGTGCACCAGAATTACAACGAGATTTAATGCTCAGTTAGTAGCCTCCATGTAAAATGATCTCAATTTCATTGCATGTTAAGCTTGTATTAATGTCTCTCGTTTAGGTTAGAAATTTCTTTCACTGCAGACTGGAAAATTTGAACCACAACCTCCAAAGAAAGAAGGAAAGCTTTAGCGCTTGAGTTCAGTTTGTTAAAAACTATACAACTGAAATCCTGATCTCTGATGACATTATTTTCAATATGTGTGTGTATGTACATATATATGTGTATATATACATACATGTGTGTGTGCGCGCGCGCACGCATGAAAATGTAACTTTTGGCTGCTATTAGACGGACTAACTACTTTTATTTTTCTATAAAGTTCTGTGAACAAGGTAAAGATACATTAGCTAACTTTTTGCAACATTTTTATTCACACATTGTACATGTTTTATGGACATGTATTCACATGTAGAGAGTACTGGTTAACATGTAATTGAATAATAGGTGTGACAATCTTATTCATCTGTTATGCTATCGAGGCTTGGTTGCCAATGGTAAGATGGAGTTGCATGTGGTCTTACTTGCTTTGGAGAACGTAGCTCTTTTGTTGCATTTTCTCGAGTTCTCATGCCATATCTTGCTGCTTTTCTTTGTTTAGTGTTTTTTTTCTTATTTCAGGAAAAAAAATTCAAGCATCCATTATCGAACTTGTCCTCTCTGGTGTTTTTATTTGCAAATGACTTCAAGCAGTAAAAAGATCTCTTGGGAGTGCTCGTTTTTTTTGACGTAAGGTGAGGAGAGTAATTTGGACTTCTTGCAGAAAGCCGTTGAAGCTTTCGAAGTGTGCTTTTGGGGACAACATAGAACTTTTGGCCCAGCATGAGCACTGTGTCTGGGGTGATGATTGCTGAGGGCTCGTGAAAAACATTTGGGAATGTGACGCAACACATGGGGTTTCGTTGCATGATCTCCGCTGCTCGGATGGGCCTATCATGTATTTCAACTCGGCCACCAGGATAAATGATCTTGACTACCACGTCCCTTCTGCTGTTAGGGCATAGACAACTTGCTATGGCCATTCAATCCAGAAAGATGAGGTTAAGAAGGCTGGCTTTGAATTTATAATTTGGGTACGTAAATTTTACAGACACCCTTAAGCTTTCTAAATTAGAGAATACTACCGTGTAACTTTTCTAGTGACCAATTGCAGTCGCCGCATGCAGAGCATGCGACATGTTTTGGATAAAATTTGCCTGATATACTTAATATATATCTGCTATATTTGGGTTGTGGTAGGTAGAAGTATTCAGGAAAATTTACACCTTTTGCCATGCATGTTGACATTGTTTATGACACCATAGTTCGTGATAGGTTTTTTATCATTTTAAAACCTCGCGGTTTTCTCTACTTCAGAAACTTTGAGAGGGTTTTGCGCAAAATCTCCCAAACTTTAGGGGCTTTATGAAATTTACCCTTAAAAATGATTTCATATGCTCTGGGAATGGTTGAAAAGTATATAATTAAAAGTTTACCAGAGCATTTTCTTGGTTCCTTCCCTGCATGATTTTTGGATGGTTTGCTCTTCGCTATTGTCTGACTCTTACGTTTGGTTTATACAGCTTTTACATAAGATTCGAATTGCAAATGAACAAATGAATCGTGACCTCTTATTGTGTAGCTAAAACTAGAGGCGGAAGAAAGTATGCTCAGTGTTTGTTTATTTTCTTTCAAGATAAGGACGGTTGTGTGTCCAAGGAGGATAAATAAGTGGTAAAATTGATAATGACTAGGTGATTGCATTGAACTTACTAACCTTTTTACCATCTATTTGAAACTATGTACGTACCCATGAGTTTGCGTATAATTGATGGCTCCCTCTTGCAGGTTTGCTGCTCTATGATTATTCCTGCTCAAAAAATGTATTTTGTATGATGCTACTATTGGCAACTGAGGGAGAGGGAGAGTGTATACACAGTGTAATCCAGGATAATTTTGGTGAAGCAAATCTGGGATGTTAGCCTACGAACGGGTAGTGCTCTCCGTCCTCGTTCTGGGTTTTATATAGAGATAGGTGAGATCAAGGTAGAGGAGGTGGGGGTCTCAATGGAGGATGAAGATGATGAAGATTTCGTTGGAGATAGGAGAGGTGAGGAGGGGTTTTTTTCGCTAATGGGTGATGGAGATTGTTCAGGCTGAGGGCTTGAGAATTCGTGTTTAGATCATGGTGGATTTGGTGGTTTTTTGAGGGAAAACTCTAATTCTAGGGGATCTTGTGACATTTTATAAAATTAAGGGAGTTTTATGAGATTTACCCTTGCATATATGTGAACTAAGCCGACGACGTACGCTCTAATCATCGACGCTCTGATGTTTATGTCGTGTGACTTGCTATCGTAAAGAAGTTGGAACTTGCGAAATTGAGTTATTCCCCGTTGAAAATTGATGTTCACGTTTATGTTGACTTAGGTTTTGGCTTGATTTCCTCACTTAGATAGATGGGAGTTGCCGATTTCATTTTTTTTCTTAGAAATATTTTTTATATTTTGTATTGAGATACTAATTTTTGTTTCTTTAGATAATTATATATTAACTGAGTGATAAATTATGTTGTTGGATGTTTTTTTGTGTGTGTTTATGGAGGTAATCTTACCCATAATGAAATGTATCTTTGAACGGAGTCCACATAAATATCACTTTCCAAGTTTACATCAAGCATTCCAAACGATGTGGTATTATCATTTTAAGGATTCACAAAGATTCATAACCAAACAATATAAAAACACAAATAGAAATCAATGAAGCGGATAATCACTTTTCATAGTGTGTCATAAATACACGCATTTTCTCACAAGACGTACAAAACAACCCCTTAGCGTTCATGACTATGGTAGGTGTTCAACTACTTACTAACATTTCTTCACAAAAACAACTTAAAATTGAATAGATATGAACCCATACGAATTTTCATTTATCAGCGGTTCTTTCTGCACTTCATTGTTGGCAATATTAGTTGAGTTCATCATATACACGCGCGGACATTGTATTATTCATATGTGTTGCTCCATCGGGTGATTATTTGTCCCGAGTCTTTTCGTTATCATATCCCGTTATTTATATATAATTTTTGTTAGTGTTCGCCCAATCCTTGCTTCTGTTATTTTATAAACCACTTTATTGGATGAAATCATGTGATGAAAGTTTGCTTTGAGTAGAACTCAAAACTAGAATCAAGATAATTTGTGGGATAAAATTTTATAGTGTTTTAGTGAGATTTGTGTTTACTAGAAGAAAGCCATCAGAAACATGCTTATCCAATTTTTGAGGGCTAAATGACATTTAAACACCCTACTGTTTCACCACCTTTACATTTAAATACGCGAAGTTATAAAAAAAGTACCCTAAATTATAAAAATTGACACATTAGTGCCTTTTGGCAGTTGTCATAAAAATATTCCTAAGAATATATCTAAGAGAATATATTAAAGTGCTATTATTTTACAACTTAGGGTATTAAAGCCATCCACGAACACGTTGTATTAGAAGTAATCCCGAGACAGTTTAGAAAAAGGGAGGGAAAAGAGAAAATTGATGGAAGGCAGCTGGGATTGGAAATTTATGCATTGCCACCCCCTTTGAGAGAAAGTAAAAAGAAAGGAAAAGAAAAAGAAAAGAAAATGATATTCTTTTTATTGTTTGGTTAGAAAGAATATTGTAAAGAAAGTTAGAAGAAAATTTATAAGAAAATCATTTTCTCTTGTTTGGTTACCTTTCTGAGAAAAAGAGAAAGAAAATTATCACACCATAATTTTAATTCATATTTTTTGTAATTAGATTTAGATTTTAAATAATTTATAAAAAATAATTAACAAGCAAAAACACAATCACAATTCCACTAATTAAAGAACAACATTTCTCACACATAATATTAACAAGCACAAGCACAACCACAATTCCACTAATTAAAGAACAACATTTCTCACACATAATATTTGCAGAAAGAAAGATCAATGAAAGAAATAAAATAAATCTAAAATAAATATCATGATATTTCTAATATAAAGTATAACCCATTTCTAGTCACGAAGTCTATTACAATCAATTTCATATAGAAAATTTTAACCAACAAAATCTATTACAATCAATTTCATATTAAAGATCTTAACCAACAAAGTTTATTACAATCAATTTCATATAGAAAATCTTAACCAAAGAGAGAGAGAGAGAGAGAGAGAGAGAGAGAGAGAGAGAGAGAAATATGCCGAAGTCCTTGTTTTTTGGCTTTAGTGAACCCATCAAAACATCAATTTCACATCCTTCATCCCCTGAAATTAATTCAAAAAAAAAATCCCTAAGTAGAATATAAATATCAAAAACCTATAAAATGAAGTCTTAACATTCTTTTAGAAGCAAAATGAAACTATCACTCGTCGTATCATGGTTCTTTTCTTAAGACTAATCATCAGAAATGATGGAAGTGACTAATCATCGTAATGTTATGTTTGCCCCTATAAACATGTGCCTTTGTGTTCTAATCTTGTGAAATTTACTAAATACTCCCAAATGGAGAGATAACTTGAAGGCATGCTTATTGTAAATCTGTATATAAATCAAAACTAGAAAAAATTTCATACACACACAAAAAGAAAAGATGCATATATTGGTGATATAAGTAACTTTGTACATGGAACAGACTTCAATGATAAGAACTATAATATCATACTCGATAAACATTGAATTACAAACAATAAGGTGATGTACTTATTACTATCAAACAATGCAAGTTCAAACTCAAAGACAATCCTCCCATCATGAAAAGGTAAACACCAGAGGGCCCTTCAACTTTTGAAAGGAAGGAAGGCTTTTATATTAGGCAAAGGAATGTTAGTAATTTTTTATTTCATTATACCTTAAACTTAAGAACTAGGTGGTAAAATGCGAACATGTAATTAGAGTATAAATTAAATTACCTCGTAGTACCGATACCAAGATTGTGTGATGCCCATCCAAGCTTAATCTCCAACCACATTTTCCTTCATTGAATTGGTAACCCAATAAAGTTCCTCCCTCGAGCCGCATCCTCAATAAGATAGTCGTAGACTACAAGCTGTGCGTCCTCATTGAGCCCTTCAACTTTTGAAAGGGCCTCAAATATCTCTCTTTCTGTGTAAAAACGAGGACCAGTCTTCAGGTCATTTACATGAGCTAGGATAAGTAACATTGAATGCATGTGGTCTAAACTAATAGGATAAGTAACATTGAAGTTACATGAGCTAGACAAAATATATCATTTTTTATATTAAGACATGCATATATATTCCATATACTACAATGTGACATATATATCGTGGGCTTTGGATGTTATTCATGCACTCAAATCTGTGTCGTGTGCATATACAATTTGTATGCTAAATATACATATTTGTTGACCAAAATGGAAAGACTCTGACTCCATGTAAGTAGTACACAGACTCTACCCAATTCCATGCAAAGGTCAAGCTTTTAGACACAATACAGAACCATCCATACAGGTCTGGTCCAGGCTGGGGATTAACATCCTTATGGACATTTATTATATGCATACTTATAGGTTTAAAAAGATACTAAATGAAGACGCAAACACTTGCTGCAAATGCAATGATGGGAAAGTTTGATAGCACCGACAAAAGAAAATGTGACAGATTATGGTATGTATAAGAGAACGTGATAAATTATTTCCAGTACCTATAAGCAGAGATCAAGTGTTGTACCAGACATGTCAACTTTTCCATCCAAGAAAGAGCAACTAGTTAGGAAAGCTTGTGAAATCCAATATATCTATAATGACACACATCCAAATCTCTGCTCGGAAACAAAATCAAAACATTCAGTGAGGGTATGGTCAAGAGAACTTTTTAGTCTAATCATACTAACATGAAATTCAAGGTTTTGTATCGTGCATCATGTATGGTCAAGAGAACTTTTTAGTCTAATCATACTAACATGAAATTCAAGGTTTTGTATCGTGCATCATGTACATTCTGTTCCTCTAGCCCTCTATGCATTAATAGCTTAATAATACTGTTCCTCTATTATAATCTAGATGTCACAAGTTTAAGTTGTAGAAGAGATGATTTAGCATTGGATTGCTCTTTTTTAAGCCTAGACACTGACCAACAACTGGTTTATTTAGGTAGACCTATAACTAGAAAATTGCAAGTGTGTTTCACTCAGACGGGAGACCTGAATATCTCTAGCAAAAAAAGACCTTTGATTTTTTTTAATACTGGGTGAAAGACAATTGTGAATACCTTTCATCTTTCAGAAAACATAAAACGATCTATAAGCTTCCTCAGCTGACAATAACATGAAAAGGAGATGAAACAACATTTTGTCACCAAATTGGCCACATAACAACTCATCTTTCATCCCGAGCCATCATATGAAAGATTAACATGAACTAAACGTACCGCCACTGAATCAACAATATAAAACCCCCTGCAACAAGACTTCACAAAATTAAACTAAAAACTACCCCCATATTAGAATTCACAACCATGGTCTGTTAGAGGTGCTGCACAAAAATACCGTTAGAGCAGCATGACTTTTCTGTCATAGATTAGCATGTCACAAAAGTTTGAACATGCCTTGTGTAGTTAAATAGTCCAAATAATGATAAAATTATAATGATAAACTCTTATTGCAATACACGCATAAAAGCTAATGCACCTCACTGTTAAGTTAAACAATACAAAAATAAATCTGATACTATGCTGCAAAGTTTGATTTTTAAGGAATCTGCTGATCTAATTCTTTCCTTTTTTGCCCTTTTCTGATTCGATTCAGTCCCCTCCTTCATTGGATCTTAATTTATTAGCCAGTGGTCTCTCTGTTTGTTTTCGCCTTTAATTCGTTGATGTGATCAACTTCATCTCATTGTTATGATATTTCTCATTCGAAAGCACAAGAATTTACTACAAGTAATCATAATCCAACTGCGAAGGAGGGGAAAGCTGAACAACAACAACAACAACCCATCATATACATTCTGATCGCTTTATTTAAAAGCTTATGATAATGGGTCTTAGGCTAAGAATGTATATTAAACAAGCTGAAAATTTGACATCGTATTGATAAATCTTGAACAAAGGACCTGCTAAACATTGGTACTATGCTTAAACTAATAATATGTATTTGACATTACATGATTTTTCTACATATTTTGCAAGATTACATTTTCTTTTTTTTTTCTTTTTTTGCAGCAGTAGTGAAGCGCATAAAGCTCATTCCATCCTCTTAACACTCATCTAAATGGATGTAAGAAAATCCTCACATGGAGCAGCTTATTGGTTCATGTTTAAGAATATTTTACAAAAGGATACACCAAGTTGATTCATATAAGTTGTATTACGGTTTAACCTACGGTTATGCACTTATAACCCATGAAACAACAACTGCAGTAACAACTTGTTGGACCTTAAAAGTTCTCAAAACTGAAATGCAAAAATGAAATGCAAATGCAATTAGATGAGTGTATGATATGGTTCATAAAACAATTAAGAACAATAAATAGCAAAAATGAAATGCAAAAATATCAAGTTTTGA